CCCCCCCCCCCTCCTCTTTTCTCCCCGGCCGCAGTCCCTCTACCCGTCCATGATGATCGCCTACAACCTGTGCTACACGACAATTCTGGGAAAGTTTGACCCCAAGACCGGCGGAACTTCGGGGAACCTCGGAGCCTTACCGTACCCGGAGTCGAACACGTCCGCGGCCCTCGAGAGGGCGGCCGAGGCGCACCAGGCCTGGGGCAAGCGCGACGGGCGGTCCAACGACCATCACCAGCAGCAGCAGCAGCAGCGTCGTCGTCGTCGCAACAGCAGGAGGAGTCCTCTCGCCACTGGCAGAGGGGGTTCACAGCAGCCGCCGCTGTCGCACTTGTCCCCCGTAGACGAGGAGGAAACCCCGACGAGTGCGGCGGGGATGGCGGAAAGGTCGCCGGCGTCTTCTGCGACGCACCCGGCAATGGAGACTCCGGCAGGACCGCCGCCGCCGCCGCTGCCGCCGGGATCATCACCACAGCCGGAGGATGATGCCAAGCAAGGCGATACCCAAGGCTCTACACCCAGCGATGACCACGGAGGGGAAGGGTTTTCACCTCGATCGCGGGGCAAGGAGGGGATGCCAGGGTGGGATCCCCGGTGCATACACCTGGCGCCGAATACGGCGGGGTTCTGCCACCCGTCCCTGAGGCAGGGGATCCTGCCCCTCATGCTGAGGGAGATCCTGGAGACCCGGGTGATGATCAAGGGGGCCATGAGGAGGGCCGAGGGAGCCGGTCAGAGGGTGCTGGCGCGCACGCTGAACGCTCGGCAGTTCGCCCTCAAGATGATCTCGAACGTCACGTACGGGTGAGGAGGACAAACGGGGGGGGGGGTGTCGGTCGGCGGTTTCGGCGAAATGGAGGTGTATCTTCGTGGTGGTCGAGAACATGGGGGTCTTTCGTGAAGTAGGGAAATTTTACGAAAAGGGTCGTCAGCCTAAGTAGCGTGCAAATATGGACGCCTCGTCTGGTGCGCGTAGAGTCGATCGTTCGATCCGTTCCTGGCGGAAATGAACGGTCCAGGCTTAGCGCATCGTATCGTGCAATAATTGGAGTTCTCCGACAGGACTTTGGTTGATCGATGGCGGACTGGACCGTTGTGGTTGCTGGCAACTGGTGCATCTATAATGGCATGGTAGAGTTTTGTGTCGTGGCGGTATGAATGAGGGCGAAGGTGAGAACTGTTCTAATGACGGTACTGCTGGTCAAGACAAGCGGGGGAGAGAGGGGGCACGCGGAGAAGAGGAGGCCTTGGGGGGTGGTCGAAAATCTTGCGACCTTCGGTGGAGCCGGACACCGCACACCTCCGCGCGTATGGTGCGCTACCGTTGCTCTTTGGCACCAAACTTTCTTGCCGCGGCGTGCCGTGCTCCCGCCCCGCTCCCCACCCTCCTTGCCGCCTGCCTCCCTGCGTTATCGTACGATGGAACACCGATACGTAAGGTACACGGCGGCAGGCTTCAGCGGCAGAATGCCCATGGCGGAGCTGGCCGACGCGATAGTGGAGAGCGGGAGGCAGACGCTAATCGCGGCTGCAAGGACGGTGAGCTTCGTTTTTTTTTTTTTTCTCAGTGTATTTCCAGGAGCGGTATGCAGACAAGATGGACCGCCAGAACGGGTGAAAATTGTGGAGAACGGGCTAGATTTCTTGCATCCCCTCGCCAGGACTTTCTCTTCACTTTCGACAAGAACGGGAGTCTGCTGAATACTGGGGATCCACCACAATAATCAGTTCTACTCTTTTTCCATGTGCTATTAGAAGCGCTTGTCTCGAGGACCGAGGGGGGCTAGCTGTATGTTAAACATGTTTGACCGACAAGTTTATGCCGCGCGGAAATGGGTCCAGTCATATCTCTCCTCTCTCTCCACACTTTGGTGAAGGGCGTGGCGGTTTCTTCCTCTCTGTTTTTTTCGTCGTGCATCCCCCTCCCCCCCGGCCACCCCGATACTGTTGTTGCAGGTGGACAACCACAAGACCTGGCAGGCGTCTGTGGTGTATGGGGACACCGACTCGCTGTTCATCGAGCTCAAGGGCCGCAGCCTCGAGGATGCTCACCGCATCGGCAAGGAGATGGCCACCACGGTGTCCAAGTCTTGCCCCCCGGACGTCGTGCTCAAGTTCGAGAAGGTGCTTTGCGGGGGGGGGGGGGGGTTCGCGGATAGCAGATTGAGTGTACTCATACTAATGCCGTGGTCGGTGTGTACGCCGTAGTTGTTGAGATGTGGCGATTCTCGGATGAAGTGCCTTCAGCAGTAATGGTAGTGGGGGCCGCAACTTTCTTCACAGCCGCGAGTGAATGGGCTCATTCGATCGCTGCTGATGAGAGCTTTTCACGAATATTTTGGTTCCGCTCGATTCGTGGGAACATGCTATTTTTTTATTCCGAGTACCCGTGTTCGGTCTTCGAAGTGCCGGCACTAAAGACTATAGACCTCGCATTCCGGAACGGAGCGACGTGCCGGGTTTTCGCCGGCCCAGGATAGTGGGTGTGGTGTTATCTACACGTCACAGCACGAGGGATGGGCAAGGGGGATGGGGCGGGGGGGGACGTTGTACTTGTTGTCTTGGCGGTTTGACCGCTGCTGCTAAAACATTCGTCCACTCTGATGTTATGGGCAGGAGTGCTTTCCGTTTACTGCTCTGTGTCCTGCAGGAGCTTGTTTCGGTTGCTGTGTTCGCAACCCCTACTGTTGTTGTTGTTGTTGTTGTGACGTCGTTGTTGTCGTCGTCTTTGTCGCTGATTCTGCCTTCACCTTCGGGGGCATAAGAACACAGCTTTTTCGCACGAGGTGCTCGATATCTTTGCGTCTGCCAGCAAGTGTCTCCCACGACACTCTTTCCTTTCTTCGTTGTGTCAACGTCAAAGACGCCACCCCCCTCCCCTCCGTTCTACGTTCGCTCTCTTGTGCCCTTTCCACCGCCTCGCTTTGTCTCGAAGGTGTACCTGCCGTGCATCTTGGCCTCAAAAAAGCGGTACGTGGGGCACATGTACGAGTCTCCGAAGGACTTAAGGCCGAGCTTCGACGCCAAGGTACCGAAGAGAGAGTATCATCATTAGCGTAGTCGTTTAGCGGGAGCGTGTGTGGGCATGAGTGCCAGCATCTATCTGCATGCGAGTTGTCTTTTGCCGAAGAGGATTGGCGTCCACGTGCACATCAGCATGCGACGAAGTCGTACGGCGCAGAAGTCATACTTCAGCAAGAAGCAAAGGTGAGTACACCCCAGCCCCTCCCCCCCCCTCCCCCTCTTCGTTCTTGCCTTGCGCCATCGCCACACTAGTTTGCGCCAGCTGTCAACGAGAATCAACTCTTTCACTGCTTTTCCTTGGACGG